GAAAGAACATATCCATGAGTGTCTTGCAAACAGTTTGACGTGTGTTAGCTTACTTGGTAACGGATATAGATTCAAACTATGTAAAATGTGAAATGCGGGGGTTTTATTGGAAATGGTCCCCTTTGTTAAGGCTCGTTCACTCCAGAATCGTTGAAAAGGTCAGTTGCGACACTACTAAAGAGTTTCATTGGAAGACGGAATACAGAAGTAACGCATTCCAAACACAATATATATACAATGTAGTCTACGCTATGGAAGCAATCCCCCTTCCCTCCAAAATTGAAAACAGGAAAAAAAAACTGATTAAGGCTACTATAAATATAGTTAATGTAACAACATTATGCGTTAATATTTACCAAAAATTGCTTCAAGTATAGAGTCGCTGCTGCTATCTCTTCAAACAGGTTCTTAGCGCCTGTTCATTTAGAACTATTGAGAGCAATATGAACCATGTGACCGCGAGATAAAAGGTTGTCCCAACTCTTTTTCAACGGCTCTGGTTCACACCAAGAACGATAACTATATACACCTTAGTCAGGGTAGTCCCATGTTTAATTTGTAATTGTCATCATGAAGTACAGTCGATCAATGGATTGTTCTGTTGTTTAACAACATAAAGGTTCAGCTGACGAAATGTCTTTACGGAGAAAAAAAAGAAATGTTCAAAAACAATTTAGAAAGTCGTGAGTTGTGAAAATGACACAATCTAGAACCTTTGCACAGTATGTCATTGTAAAAACGAAGTCTATCACGCACAGCCTCGTTTTTATCGTCGTTACGTCAAATTCAATATGGCGTGTAATCTGACTAGCGTCCACACCAACGGATAGTAACGCTATGTTTATAAGCGCGCTGTAGTAATGTATTAAATGCTCGAGATTTTTTAAAAGTTTTAGTTGTTCTTCAGCTAAACAAAAAAATCTTTCTGAAATTCCATTGTTTCTCTGTGGAATACGCAATGTCATATAAATTGGAAAGCTTATTTAAACTTTATGGTAATCGTCCTTGATATGAACAGCCCTATAAACTTTATAGTTGTAACTACTATTTCATCCCCAAATTGGGCTTCTAAGAGAAATCGCAAATATATATATATTTTTTGTTGTTACCTGAGATTAACTGGTTGGCATCCTAATAGTGTTCAGCCAGAAAGTGCACAACAGTCTGTATTTGTGATGTTCTTATCATTCCCTAGAAGGTACACTATAATAACATCTAGGGTTATGGTTAGGTTACACATTCACTATGGTTTTACACCACACAAACTAGATTTACATTCATATATCGGTGAGCTTCTTTCACCTCTGCAACTGGTGTCATGGTAGGAAGTACAAGCTAGTCACTATAGAGTTGGGAGAGAACTGTCTTAAAGGGTTTGTACTGGGGTTGGTGCGGTGAAATGGGATGATATTAAATAAATCATCCGTTTTCATCAAACTTGAGAGAACAAATGTTTCATTCTGTAAACAAGCTGACACTTAGGTTCTGATTCAAACACTTCCTCAACTGTTACACTTGCAGGTCAGGTTAAATATGGACATTCCAAGGTGCTTTTGATCAGTGGCATGTCTGGTTAAGGAGTGATGAAGGACTATGTGCAACAGACTTCTCCAGCACACACAATATGTACCCACTGTGCATTAGCTTGTCTCATTTGTATTGATTGCCAATAACTTTATTCTACTGTAATGTGCTTCAGCTTTAATCATTTGCTTCTGATTTAATCTTAATTGCAGATGTGTAAAGAACAAGAACATACATGTTAGTGGGATACATACTGAAATGTCATATTTATAGAAAGAGGGGGGAAAGTGGGAGTCTGTGGATGCGATCTCCATAAAGAAAACAGAAAGCCCATTTCAAAGATTAAATAGATGGAAAATGGCTTCAAACCGTTTAATATATTTAGCTAAAGCTATTTTTGACCTCCAAATAATATCAGTAAATATTCCAAGGCCTTGTCTGCTTAGTTGGCCGTTGGTGTGCAACACCCATTGAAGGGTCCTAGACCATTTTAGTTCTTTATGCACTGTTACATTGAATGCACTAGATGAGAAATATACCTCTTTTTATACAAAATTAGAATTACCAGAGTTTGTCTGGTTACAGCTGAACCTGATTCATAACACTCAATAAATATCATTTTTGCAATAAGGCTTGTACTTATGGAGCTTAAAGAACTGAACGTAATAAGGAACTTTCTAATGGTTGTTTCACAGTAATGCTGCCATTTAGATGTTGTGTTCCTTGTCCTTCCAGATAGGAAATGTTTGCAAGACGTCTCATGAATATAATTTGATGTTTTCATATCTTTTCCAAGGCCTTGTCTGCTTAGTTGGCCGTTGGTGTGCAACACCCATTGAAGGGTCCTAGACCATTGAATGCACTAGATGAGAAATATACCTCTTTTTATACAAAATTAGAATTACCAGAGTTTGTCTGGTTACAGCTGAACCTGATTCATAACACAATAAATATCATTTTTGCAATAAGGCTTGTACTTATGGAGCTTAAAGAACTGAACGTAATAAGGAACTTTCTAATGGTTGTTTCACAGTAAATGCTGCCATTTAGATGTGTTCCTTGTCCTTCCAGATAGGAAATGTTTGCAAGACGTCTCATGAATATAATTTGATGTTTTCATATCTTAGTGCCATCAAGCGATATGGGAATGAAAGCAACAAATGATGAGTTAATCCATGTTGGTAGGGCATTACCAAGAGTGATTTAAGACTAACGATCAGGGAGGGTAATTGTCTTCTGAATTTCAAGTAATATTGAAATGCCACACATTACACACGGCACACATACTTTCTGCCAATGATGGGAACTGGAAAGTTTTCTCCTGGTGCATTTGTCTTGTAAATTTTACTGGGTCAGTCCATAATGGAAATGCAGTTGTGATGCATGTTTAACAGCTGAATACAACATGTACTTCTAAATCATTTTAAGAAACAGTCCCATTACAATTTCTATTTTATATCCTTTATACGTGTATATTTACACAAAACATTTTAACTTAACAAGAAAAAGGACAAAAAAATACAAATCAGGATATTATAAGGGTCAACCTTCCATTGTGTGCAAGGTTCATTAATGACCAAAAACATTTATGTAGCCCAACAGTGTCAAAAAGTAGATGGACAACTTTTCTGTAACAAATGCCTTAGACGAGGGACAATACGTCTGATTAAAGGAAATCTGGTATGTTCCCACTGTGCATTAGCTTGTCATTTGTATTGATTGCCAATCACTTTCTTCTTCTGTAATGTGCTTCAGCTTTCACCATTTGCTTCTAAAGTGATCTTGTTAATTGCAGATGTTTAAATTGTCACAAAAATATACATGTTAGTGGGATACATACTGAAATGTCACATTTATAGAGAGGAAAAAGTGGAGTTTGTGGGTGCAATCTCCATGAAGAAAATAGAAAGTCAATTTCAAAGAGTAAATAGATGGAAAATGGCTTGAAACTGTTTAATATATTTAGCTAATGCTATTTTTGACCTTCAAATAATATCAGTAAATATTCCAAGGCCTTGTCTGCTTAGTTGGCCGTTGGTGTGCAGCACCCATTATAGGTCCTAGACCATTTTAGTTCTGTATGCACTGTTACATTGAATGCACTAGATGAGAAATATACCTCTTTTTATACAAAATTAGAATTACCAGAGTTTGTCTGGTTACAGCTGAACCTGATTCATAACACTCAATAAATATCATTTTTGCAATAAGGCTTGTACTTATGGAGCTTAAAGAACTGAACGTAATAAGGAACTTTCTAATGGTTGTTTCACAGTAATGCTGCCATTTAGATGTTGTGTTCCTTGTCCTTCCAGATAGGAAATGTTTGCAAGACGTCTCATGAATATAATTTGATGTTTTCATATCTTAGTGCCATCAAGCGATATGGGAATGAAAGCAACAAATGATGAGTTAATCCATGTTGGTAGGGCATTACCAAGAGTGATTTAAGACTAACGATCAGGGAGGGTAATTGTCTTCTGAATTTCAAGTAATATTGAAATGCCACACATTACACACGGCACACATACTTTCTGCCAATGATGGGAACTGGAAAGTTTTCTCCCAATATTACCGGGTCAGTCCATAACGGAAATGCAGTTGTGATGCATGTTTAACAACTGAATACAACATGTGCTTCTCAATCATTTTTAAAAAAACAGTCCCATTACAATTTCTATTTTATATCCTTTATACGTGTATATTTACACAAAACATTTTAACTTAACAAGAAAAAGGACAAAAAAATACAAATCAGGATATTATAAGGGTCAACCTTCCATTGTGTGCAAGGTTCATTAATGACCAAAAACATTTATGTAGCCCAACAGTGTCAAAAAGTAGATGGACAACTTTTCTGTAACAAATGCCTTAGACGAGGGACAATACGTCTGATTAAAGGAAATCTGGTCCGTGAGTCTGTGTGATTCTTCTGATTGTCATTCAGTCTTTCTAATGTTTTTCTTACACAGACTCAACTGTGGGCAGATACGGCGGCACATTCTCCTGGTGCATTTGTCGTCAATATTACCGGGTCAGTCCATAACGGAAATGCAGTTGTGATGCATGTTTAACAACTGAATACAACATGTGCTTCAATCATTTTTTAAAAAACAGTCCCATTACAATTTCTATTTTATATCCTTTATACGTGTATATTTACACAAAACATTTTAACTTAACAAGAAAAAGGACAAAAAAATACAAATCAGGATATTATAAGGGTCAACCTTCCATTGTGTGCAAGGTTCATTAATGACCAAAAACATTTATGTAGCCCAACAGTGTCAAAAAGTAGATGGACAACTTTTCTGTAACAAATGCCTTAGACGAGGGACAATACGTCTGATTAAAGGAAATCTGGTCCGTGAGTCTGTGTGATTCTTCTGATTGTCATTCAGTCTTTCTAATGTTTTTCTTACACAGACTCAACTGTGGGCAGATACGGCGGCACAAACAGAAGCAAACTATACAGAGATGGTCATAATCCACAATTTAATATCAAGTTGTAGAATCATCAAAAAAAGCCACATACTGAAATGTTAACGGAATTACAGATGTGTCCAGTGCTACACGCAGTAGTCTGCCCAAAGCATATGAGAGTATCTGAAACATGAAGTTAAGGTTATCTAAACAAACACTGGTTAAGAAATAAGCTGTACAGTTGCACCTATAGAATGCCAAGAGAACATGTATGTGCACAAAGGTTGTTTACAGGTCACCAGAGAACAGTTCAGGAAACTAAAACCTACATGTAAAGCCTTTTATAAAGACAACAAAAATCAACCAAATTTAATCTTTACAATAATCTAATGGCTATAAATTCAGCCAATTAAAAACATTTAATTAAAAAAAAAAATGTTTTCCACTGCAGCGAGTCAGATGCTAGAACCTTCCTTTGAAGGGCTTGAATCCTCCGCTGCCGCCGGCCATGGGAACATTAGTGATCTGCACAATTCTGTTCATACCAGAAGAGGAATGACTGCAGAAAGACACAATCAGGCAAATCAATACACAGGCAAAGTCAACACGTGAAGGAAAGACTGAAGGCTAAATGTTATTTCCTATAAATGTGCGAGAATTATGATTCATTTTCCACCATGAGTAAATACCTAGCAAACTAACAAGGTGCAGTGAATGATAAAACTATTTGGTCTACAAAGCAGTGTGCCTACGATTGGATACGGTTGACACCGGAAACCTTGCACATTTCAAGTTAAAAATAAGGTGGATAGAGTTGGTACATAAAAAAAAATCAAAAATGGCACATAACAGATTGATATATGCGTCCTGATAAATTGAAAGATCACGATCAATATTGGATGAGCATTTATTAATAAATCTCTTATAAATGATTCAGTGACATACTTTTCTTAAACAGTCACCTGTCACCACCTCCTGGGCATAATGGAATAATCATTACAATACATATGAGTGTCAAAATTATTGAAAAGGTAAGATACTCTATTTTGATTGCTACAGCCAAACTATAAACTTATCCCACTACTTCTGTTATTTAAATGTTGGTACACTGAAATAACGTGCGGTTGGAAAGACTGTTTGTGAAGCTGTTTCACACTGTACATTTACAAGGCAGCTGCTGTCTCCGGATCAACGGCAGTGTAAACACAGATTTGAATGTTGCATGTCTGTGATGATCAATACTTTCAAAGCTTTAACGAAGTCCCTAGTCTTTGGTTTAGTGCTTGTGTCACACTGCAAGCATCAGCAGAGTGTGAGCAGCACACGTTTTGTCCCACACCTCTGCCCATGGTAATGAATGAGAGCATTCCCATCGGAAGTGTTAAGTCCGATCCACTCATTCATTATCCTGAGAAGTGACAAATATATGCGCTGCTCATGCTCTGCTGATTCTTGTGATGTGAAACAGCCGTAACACACATAGCTCAATCGTAAGACTGTGAGAGTTTGAATCAGGATTGTGATCTCTAATACATGCTGTACATGCATGATCAAAACAAACCTGGAGTGTGGTGCCATCATGCCAGGTCGACTGTCCCCCATTCGGTGGTTATCTGTGAATCCTCCGCTTTGTGAGCCTGCTGCCCCGTGCCAGTCTTTCCTGGGGCCCTGATCGCGTCCATGCCGCTCCACCACCACCTGTCTGCCACTGCTGAAGTGCTGCTGTGGTAAGAGGGAGGTAATATGGCATTAGATTTGAAAACTGGCAACAAAAAGAATGTGTCAGAGGCATGTTATGTACTTTACCTGGTCTCCCATGACCACAGGTCTGCCACCATCTCGGCTGTTGAAGCTGGCTCTGCCACGGCTGGCTGTGGACACCCCCCTCATGGCAGGTCTGGGACCCTCTCTGCCAGGACGTTCTGGATGCATCCGCGCTGCCCTGTAATACAGTCAGCAGCAATCACTGATTACCAGCAGCTCAAGAAGAGCCAAGCCTGAAATATCAGTCTTTGGTAGTGTTCTAGACACTACAATGAAATGAGCGGGTCAAACACACAGGGCAACAGTTCTTGACAAAAATAAATAAATAATAATAATAATGGCCAGTGGTAGGGCTGCACGATTAATCGAATCCGATTGTCATGCACATCTTGTCGGTAAAGCCGGTTCTGTGATTAGTAGTAAATCACCATCACCTGATTTCAGATGGAGCAGCATTTACTACACAGAGCCGTAGTTCTTCAACAAGCTACGAAAAAAAAAAAAAAAAAAAAAATTTTTTTAAATTTAAAATTTAAAAAATCGGTCGACCGATAGTGGATTTTGCCGATTCCGATAGCTAGGTTGAACCACACTGGCCGATACAGATTAATTAACCGATAGTTTTAAAATTGATACTGAACAAAAACTAAAATAGTGCTTTATTAACAAAAACAGTACTGAACCATACTAGTAGTAAAAAAAATAATAATAGTAATAGTAAACGTTGAAATTAACGCACTCTAACAAGGAACAATACTTACACAGCTTTCATTAATCTTAATGCTACAAATAGACTCTTATTTTAAAGTGTTACCATTTCATTTCAACTGTCATGCTAGTAAACAATTTATTCTGAAGCAATATTTTCATCAGTGTTCTATCAGCTTTTACATACTTAAATCTGCATATTTACCTTTACAAAGGCCAATTTTTTTTTTACCTTTTTAGATGTATGCATCATCTTGCATGTCAAATTATTATAATTTATCAATAAATTCAATATACACTATAGGGCTGCTACCAGTCAGAATAAATCATTTACACTGCAAGTAATAATAATTACAACTGCAATAAATAATGTTATGAGATAAATGTTTTAAATGCATTTATGAATATACAAATAAGAAATGTTGAGGGGGAAAATGCATACATTTCAACATACTTCTCAACTAAACTACAAGTAAGTTGCGGTAAGTCACTTGATGAGTGAGTCATTGAGTCATTCATTCAACTAGCTACTTTAAATGTGGAATTAAAACCGCCAGTAGGTGGCAGCAAGTCACCGTTAATAAGTGAGTCATAGCGACTTAACCGAATCATTTAAACGAGTGATTCATTCGGGAACGAAACACCGTCATGTTGCTCAAAGACGCAAAACAGCGCTGTGGCTTTGTTTGGAATTATTTTTGTTGGCGACATAGTGCAAATACAGGCAATATGGTGTCTAAAATGTAAGTCTCTTAATGAAACTTCTAGTTTATTGAACGGTTGTAAAAAATCTATATCACATTTGTATATGGTAATTTTTGGAGGAAAAAAGGCACTCTTCCGTGTGAAATTGATTAACTATATGAAGTGGTATAAATATACACATTTTCTGCCCCCATGTCTTGAATTTGTGATCATTCTGAATGTATTTTAATAGACTGAATCATGCAGTGAAAGAGCGCACTGTAAATGCGCACTCATACTAGACTTCACGTAATGCATGCACTCTGTAGGTGTTTTGAATGTTTTTTTGCGTCGTGAGAATATTGAGCAAAATAGCTCACTTGTCATGGTGTTACTTAACTATTTCATGTTATGAATAAACTAAACATTTTGAATTTTACCTCAGTGTGTTTCTTCCGAGTTTATGTGTGCTGTTATGCTCATTTGTTCTGAAGTCTCGAGACAAACCGAGTGAGCCTCAGCGCGACCTTGTATTGTGTATTCTGCTAACTTACTGCAATTCTCTCTGATGATGCAGTAACTTACCGTGGGTCTGTCCAATGATTGTAAACAGTCATTAGGTCCGTCAGACTGAAGATATTTTAGCGGTAATGTGACCAAAAATATTTAAGACCCATCGAATCCGAATTTAAGACAGTTTAAGACTTTTTAAGGTCTTATATTAGGAAAACGTTATTTAATACATTTTAAGACTTTTTAAGGACCCACGGACACCCTGACTTAGGATGGGATCAATGCAGAGCACTAATTCCTAGTATGGGTAACCATACTTGGCCATATGTCACGTCACGTTTAATACCTGGTCTCCATTGACTTCCATAGTATGGAGGGAAAAAAAATACTATTAAAGTCAATGGGGACCAACAACTTTTTGATTACCAACATTTTTCAAAATATCATCTTTTGTGTTCAACAGAAGATAGAAATTCATACACGTTTGGAACTTTAAAAAAAAAAAAAGTTTTCTAACACTACTGTCATAGTACTGTTCTTGTCCACATTGGTGGAAGAAAGCAGAGGTTCAAGAACTGCTAATGTAATGAAATTTCACTTGAAAATCACTTAATGTTTTGAACAGGTACTGAACAAGAACCAAACCTCAAGCACAAACAGAAACTCATCTGTACCTGACATCTCCCTGTTTTGTATTCATTCCCCCATCAGTCTTCCAGCCAGCATGACTGCCGTCTCTGGGGGTACGGGAGTGGGCACTGGCGGGGGGCGGCGCTCTGCCACCAGCTGGTCGATCAGGCATGGACACCTGTCTGCGCTCATCACGGTCGCGGATTTCTCGGCGATCGCTATCGCGCAGCTCTGCACGAGGTGGAGGTGGTGGTTCTGCTCTCCGCACGGTTTCAAAGTTTTTAGGATAGCGCTCAAACCCTGAACCTTCACGGCGGGGAGCAGGTCGATTCTTCTTTGATTCAGGTTCACCATCGAAGCGATTGCGTCTGCAAAAAATAAAATAAAATCCATCGCTTGCTGTTGATTTCACAAATTTTAACTTGTGCTAATTTGGAAATTTGGTAGGTTAGCGCAACTTGTTCGCTCTCGTTCTCGTTTGAATAAAAGTGCCTGCGAAAAAGATTAAACAGGAGCTGAAAATCTGAAATCTTCAGCTGTGGCCTGGTCTCTTCTCCTACCTGTCCTATTGTGTTTGAGAATTGCATCCTTGTTCATGAATGCCTACCTATCAAAGTTGTTGGATTGCACAGCTGATGTCTGCTGGTATCGGTTCCGGTCTCTAGGGTTGAAATCATTGAAGCGGTTCTGTTGTCGATTGTTGTAATCTCCGCCTTGACTGATCCGTCCCTCTGGCTCAGTCTGCATCTTTTTACCACTATTCCAGTATGGGTCTTCCCTCCTGCACAGACAGAGAAGAGAAAAAAAAAACATTGACCATTTGAATCTTAAGAGACCACTATACCCTAAAAATGAATATGTAACAGTATTGTTCACACACCTTTGGTCAACGTCGCGTCCCCTCTTTAAGTTGTTTCGTTTCTCCTGCTCGTAGCGCAACTGCTCCTGCTGCCGTCTTAGCTCCTCGCGTTCACGAGCTAAACGCTCCGCTTCCTTACGTCGCTCCTGCACACACAGCACATTAATGTAAAGACAAAATCCCAGCTTTGAGTTTCCACAGGCAGGTGTATCGTGGCTGTACCTGCTCTATACGGATCCGCTCCCGTTCCAGTCTCTCTCTCTCCATGCGCTCACGTTCGAGTTTCTGCCTTTCCACCTCCAGCCTTTGCCGCTCTCTCATCAGGTTCTCTCTTTCCTCACGCTCACGCATAATACGGATTCGTTCCCTCTCCCGGCGTTCTCGCTCTGCTACCTCGCGCCGTCTGGACGTCACAACAAAACAGCATTACAAAATGCTGCTTAAGCACTTTGCCATTTTATTTGCGAATGAAAAGGAAGGCATGGCTACCTGCGCAGTTCCATAGCCCTGCGAATGTGTTCCATCCTGACCATGCGCTCACGCATCCTCTGTTCCTTCATCTTCTCAAACGGCAGGATGTCTTTGTTGCCACCTTTGTTAAGCATGGGACGGCCTTTCTCCATCTGCAAGTATGTAAACTGGTCAAACAAAATACTAAAGAGAGTGCATATGGCCTTACTAATTCAGATGTTCAGAATGTTTTCAGAGTTAACAAACCTCCTCAGGTGGTATGAACCCTCTGGGACGTCTGTTCATCATGTTGGGAGGACCAGGCTGTAGAGAAATAGACAATCGGATCATTTGGCCTTGATAAAAACCTCTTTACATGGCAATACAGTACATACTGAGGATGTCTGTGGTACCTTCTCAAACCTCCCGCCCCTTCTGAAAGGAGGACGAAATTTATTGAAGTTTTGCTCTCCTTTAGCTTGGTTGATCACCATCATATTGCCTGGACTCTTTCCTGCAGATGGGAAAACATTAAACACATAACTATAAAGTTTTACATTTTTAAACTTCCTCAGTAGGTGAATTCAATCAAACCGCAACATACGTCCATGCTTCTTGTCATCTTTCTTTGCTGCGTCGGCTCCTGAATTGGAAGAAGGTGCATCAGATTTGTTGGTTTTGGAGTCCTGTTTTTTGACGTCTTTGCTGTCCTTCTCAGATGATTTGTCTGATTTTTTCTCTTCCTTCTTAGATAAAACTGGTGTCCTATTGAAAATAAAGAAAGGTGGGAAAAATAACCAATGCAATGAAATACTCCTCCCCTTTAAAAGAACAGAAAGAGATTAAAACTGGATTAATGCTTACTTGCTGGAAGTTTTTGCTCCAGTTGGAGTGCGCTTTTCTCCAGAAATTTTACTGGAACTTGTCTTCTCTTCTCCCTCTTTCTTTGAGAAGTCCTTTTTAAATGGGTCAGTTTTCACCTATGAGGACGATACCATGAGATCAGATATCAAGTTTGAAAGTACCAAGTATCAAGGTTATTTTTATTTTTCACAAAAGCACACACTACTGATGATGTTTGACTGTATTATGTAAAGCCCATAAAAGGTGCTTAAATATGTTGACAATCCCATTGTTAAAGCACAATGGTTAAGCTCTTACCCTGTCCACAGATATCTGTTGTCCATGGAGTTCTGTGCGGTCCAGGTGAGAGATGCACCTGGCCACTTCTGCGCTGGATGACATGGTAACTAATCCATAACACTTGGCTCCTGGGCTACGAGCATTGGTGACCACTTTGGCACTAAAAACCTATTTTGAAAACACAATTTTTTAAAATGCTGCCACAATCCTTAATTACAAACATGTTAATTATAAGCTGGTGCCTATTTATCATATACAAAGATCCTTTACCTTTCCATATTTGCCAAAGAGGTTCTTGAGATCAGCTGCTTTGGTGTTGGACGACAGGCCGCTCACCCACAGATTGCGAGAAAAGCTGGTACTGCTGCTGCCACTTCCTGAAGACAGATAACAGGCTTTAGAAGACACTCTACTTCAGAGCAAAATAACTTTCCGAATAATGAAGCTTCTAATTTTAGATTTTTGAGAATTGGATAATACTGGTGTTTTATCACTTATCCCAGCTGCTGTGTATAAACTTAAAAGTAATCCTTTTAAGTCCAAAATTTCAAAATGCAAACCCATTTAGGAAAGTCATACCTTTTTCATCTTTTGTAGTCTTTCCATCTCTGTCTTTTGAAGAGCTAAAATGTGAACATTATGAGAGCGACAAGGAGAGAGAAATACTTTAATGAGGACCAGAGCACGAGAGAAGACGACTGTGGGGCATCGAGGTACATCTCCAAACAAACAACAAAGGTTATACAAATGTTTGGTGCATTACAGAAAAAGAAAAAGAACCAAAAAAAACAACAACAAAAAAATCCCCATAGGCAAGGCTTGCACTCGGCCAAAACTCCAATAAGGCTTCTTTCTCTTGCTTTTCCACAGGAGTAATATTACTAAAGAATTGGGGGATCATTATTGATACTTAGAATATTGATTGACATTCATTTTATTGCCACTGAATGTATGATTTCGGATTTTTTTTATATACTCCTTTTAACATGTTGGGTTGGTCACAAATGGAATTTGCAGAAATATTTTTTGACATTCTTTAAACAACTTAAAAGCGTGATTTTGCCAGAAGCATGAAAACAACAATTGAAACAATTTTCAAAGAAATGCTTAAATCATAAAAATGTACCAGCGTTCAAAATTTTGTAGTCTCTTATTTTCACTAAGACTACATTTCTTTGATCAAAATACAGTAGAAACTGTAATCGTGTGAAATATTACAAATATATGCTGATTTGGTGATTAGAAAACATTGCCACAGTTTAAAACAGATATGCTGCATAATATTTTTGTGGAAACGATACATTTTCTTTCAAAAGAACAATGTTTATTTGAAACAGAAAAACATTGTAAGGACAACATTATTGGGGCTATAACAGCTTTCACTCTTCTGTGAAGGGTTTCCACAAAATTTGAGTGTTTCTGTGGGAGCTTTGCCCATTTCGAGTATCTGTGAGGTCAGGTAATGATGCTGGACAGGAAGGCCTAGCTCACAATCTCTGTTCCAGTTCACCCCAATGATGTTGGTTGGGGTTGAGGGCAGGGCTCATTCAACCATGTCTTTATGGACGTTGCTTTGTGCATTGGGGCACAGTCATGCTGCAATAGTAAAGGGCCTTCCCCAAACTACTCCCACAAAGTTGGACACATAGCATTTTCCAAGATGTCTTGGTATGCTGAAGCATTAAGATTCCGTCACCACTCTAGAGTCCAGTGGTGGCATCTTTTACACCACTCCACTTGATGCTTGGCATTGTATTTGGTGATGTGAGACTCGCAAGTAGCTGCTCGCCCATGGAAACCCATTCCATGAAGCTCCCTCCACACCGTTTCTGTGCTGATATTAATGCCAGTGGAAGTTTGGAACTAAATGGAATCAGCAGAGCATTGGCAACATTTGCTCATCATGCACCTCAGGACCCTGCTCTGTGACTTTATGTGGTCTTCTACTTCATGGATAGGTTGCTTCCACTTTCCAATAATACCACTTACAGTTCAATGTGGAATCCATCCTATCACAGTACCATGCTTGAATTCACTGAGCTCTTCAGAATGGACCCTGCTTATTATCGTCAAATGCTTCTAAAATGTTTACGTTCAGAGGCAGATTGCCAATTAAAATGGTACATCAAAATCATGTTACAAAATGTTTTCATTCATGAATTATAAAAATTTAAGTTTGGATAGTGCACTTTCACGTCTACGTTCAAAATAGTGAGTGACAGTTAAAGGGTTTATCCCATTATTTTAATTTTAATATAACATTCTAATACCATTCATATTTTTACTTTTTTATAATTTAAAGAAGAAACCAATCCGATGTTTAGTTGACATTTGAGGCTTAATACTATAGAAAAGCACTAAAAGTTTTTCAGTTAAGAGTGTTTTCAGCTCGTTTAATTTCATATAAAAATACGGCATGCAGTTGCATCAAACAATGGTATAAACATCATTCAATGTAAATTGTGATAATTGTAATCGAAAATCGTGTAATCGACTATTATGATTTTTGTCATAATCGTGCAGCCCTAATTCACACTAACATATTACTCATTTATTAGTCCAGTTTCAATGAACCCAATATGTGGCAACAATTCCACTCCCATACCTTAGAGAAGGATTCCTCTTCCATGATGGTGTCAGCATCCAGGTCGGTCTTCTTTCCTGAAGATGTGTAATAAAGCTTTCCGATCAACTTTTGAAAAAGACACACATGGGGAGTAAAAGAGTTGGGTTCGGAGCGTGAAGGTCTACCTTTAGATTTGCTGTGTTTTCTCGTGGGTGTTTCAGCTGATACGGTGATCTCAATGTTGTCTGGATCTCCACCTTCATCTTCTATTGCCTTCACACAAGAATGCATGGCCATTCAAATTATTATGGGAATCTCAATATTTGAAACAATGATTCAGACCATACTGTGCTTTGCATAAATTATCTTACTTTACTTTTACTTTTAGTCATTTAGCAGACGCTTTTATCCAAAGCGACTTACAAATAATATTAACATACATTTATCTATGATAAATGTGTTAAACACATTGCATGCAAAAGATTTGAGCATAATAATAATAATATTTTTTGTTTAGACAAATTTGGACTAACCTGCTTTAAACTAAAGTGAAACTAGATAAGTGATATGCTGTTTTGCATTCACCCAAGTCTTGTTTCTATCTAGTAACACAGCTATTTATGTATTTTGTAACACTCAGCATTATCAGTTACATTTTATTATTCAATTGTAACAGATTGCACAAAAAGATAAATATCTATGATAAATGTGTTAAACACATTGCATGCAAAAGATTTGAGCATAATAATAATAATAATAATATTTTTTGTTTAGACAAATTTGGACTAACCTGCTTTAAACTAAAGTGAAACTAGATAAGTGATATGCTGTTTTGCATTCACCCAAGTCTTGTTTCTATCTAGTAACACAGCTATTTATGTATTTTGTAACACTCAGCATTATCAGTTACATTTTATTATTCAATTGTAACAGATTGCACAAAAAGATTGTAAATAAAGATGGTGAATAGGTTTGAAGTTGCAGCAACTGATCTGAGTGCGTTGTAACTGCATTCGCTTGCTAAGAGAATTTAGCCTATTTAACAAATCCTAGCAGATTAAGTTTCTGAAACTGCTAGTACATATTTCGTGTCAATTCTTTCACACTTGGTATCCAACTACGGGCATTACATCTGTATTGTTATTAAATGCATTAAAACATTCCGTAATGCAAACATGTTTTAGGATACAAGCGGCTATGCTAACTCCTTAGCCATCATGCTAGCTCGCGATCATTTATCCACACGCCATGGTAATTTACTGTTTAAATTAAAATTACCTGCTTCAACCTAGCGACGAGTGTATTTTTTACCCCAGTAACATCCAGATTTCTTCGTTTGAGTTCTGATTTGAGGTCTACCACACGTAAATCTGTAATCTTCTTAGTCTCCACTGAAATGGCCCCCGACGCCATTTTACCTGTGTGTCCGAGGCTCTGAGAGAGAGAGAGAGAGAGAGAGAGAGAGAGAGAGAGAGAGA